GACCGTCATGGCCTCATTTCATGTTTTAATTTTAGTTTTTTTTTTACAAATCCAAATAACTTGAAATTTTGGAAGTCCATTCTTCTTATCAAGGCTCGCCTAATAAAAATATTTTAAAAATATTTTAAAAATAATTCAAAAAATATATATCTACCAATGTACTGCTGAAATGTTTTAGGGGTATTTTGATGAACTTATTTCTTGCAAATTATATTTTTGATAGTTTTATTAGATTTTTTTATTTTTAAACAATACAAGCCAAAAATTTCAAATTATTTGGATTCGTAGAAAAAAAAATTAAAATATGAAATGAAGTCGTAACCGTCAGATGAACCCAGATTCAATCTGGGTCGTTGGGCTGATATGAACACATATGTTCATATGAGCTAGTGGGCTAATCTCAGTATTTTTCATATTCATACATCTTGATGTCGAGATAACGAATTAGAGGGTTTTTCAACTTCAAAACAACCTTTCTGATCGATATTTGAGGTGCATCTTTACTTCTACATTTTAAGGTTTCAATCTTATATAAACATTTACCTTTTTAAAAGTGTCAATAGTGAGAATGGAGCCTGGGATGCTATCTTGAGGCACCTAAATACTCCGATCCCATTCCTGTGATCTTAACTTATTTTATAGTTTCTAGTGAGTGTTTTGCTCTTTATTCAAAGCTACATTTTTATTTCAATTCTCAAGCATTTCATTCTACAGCATCTAACTTGAAATTCACGTAATTCAAAGAGAGAGAGATGTGAAATTGAAATTGATAATTTAATCTACTTTTGCAGGAGGGTTGGGCGTTGAGATGGACAAAGAGAGAAGTGTTGACAGAGGTGTGGATGCAGTTGACATTATCGGGTCCACTCATAGTCGGCAACGTCTTCCAATTCTGTCTGCAAATGATTTCAGAAATGTTTGTTGGCCACCTTGGCCAGCTTTCTCTTGCTGGTGCTGCCATGGCTGCTACCTTTGCCAGCATCGTTGGCTTCAGCTTCTTGGTAATTTGGTTTCATTATCCTCATAGTACTTTGGTTGTTTCTTTAAGAGTGACCTTTTATTTTATTTTATTTATTTATTTATTATTAATATTATTTTTGTAATTCAGCAGAAAAGACAGGAACATACCTGATTTTTTAAATAGATTAGGGAGTTAACTTTTTTTAAAGCATCATTGTATGGTGTCAATAGAATTGAAAACCACAACGTGGTAACTTGCTATGGAGGTGCTACCACTACGACCCAGCACCTTTCCTAGCTTTAAGAGGAACTCAACAGTCCAAGCTTCTTGTTCCCTTAACATGAAATTCACTTAAGAATCAAGAGAAAGCTAAATTATTGTTGCATGGTCCAAGTTTTGGGCCATATTTAGTTGAGGTCTTACTTTTTTAAAATATATTTTTGTCCTTAATTTTAATTTTAAAGTCTAACTTTGGAACTGCGTGAAACAAAAAAAATGTTATGCATGTAGGTGGTTTGTATGTCCTACTTTTAAATGGCCCGAAATATGTATTTGGGTAAGTTAAAATCTAACTTTCCAACTACCTAAAGCACAAAAAGACTTATGTGTTTGGGGACTTTTGAACCGCCTAAATTTATGTACGAGTGGTTTGGAAGATAGACTTTTGAATAGGTGCTAAACAATAACGAAAAATAACTAAAAATAAATAAAAATGGACCTCAACGTATCCTTGAACCATACAGATATGGTAATACCACATAATTTAAATAAACAAATAAATAAATAACTTAAAGCTCTTCATCATATGAAAATGTTGAGCAAAGACCATGTTGTTTTTGTAGATAATTCTAGAAAAATACTATGTAACTGAAAACAACTTGCAGAAATGTTCTTCATTCTTAATTTAATACTAATACCATAAAACAAAAAACGATAAATAAAATATTAAAAATTGAAGGGTTCGTAGTACATGATCACCACTTTTATGAGATCATCATCAAATTTTCAATAATCACATGTCACCAATAGTTTTATAGTTTTACTTGATTAGCCAAGCCTAATGTTCATTAGGAAAGATAAGAACCCTAGCTAACCTGAAATGAATATAGGTAATGCCAAAAAAGATTCAAAAATGGGGCAGCATCAAAACACCTACCGATAATATTCTTATGACCTTAAAGTTTGGCAAACATCTATGATTCCCTGGATGAATAATTATATAGAAAAAAAAATTTAATGCTTTGGAACGTAGATGTGAGCATCTATAAATGGATGTTTTGCATGTTCATTATTGGAGTGGACATTCATTCATTTGCATGTTTTTTAGGACATGAAATCAAACTTTTATCACATTAGTTTTTAAGATGACCTTTTTTATTTTTTTGGTGAGTAAAGATAATCTAAAATTTTGAGGATCAAATAGTGTACATTTGACCACTGGAGTGCAACAAATCTTTTCCATTTCCTTGTTAACACTCAAGAAAAATCTTTCTCATTTTCTTTTTGGTATGTCTAAGATAAAGAAACTGCACTGACCCACTAAGGGGACAATCTAGAGTACTATGGAAATAAAAATAAACAACCACAAAAAAAATATAATTTGGATGACTTATGAACACTTTTTGTTTAAAAGATTGCTTCCATCTTTTGTATTTTATGAGGGGAAAGATCCTTGGTCTCCCTAATCAAAAGTTATTTTGCAGTTATAAATGTACAATGGGTGATATATATAGATAAAATCAGTAGCATAGCAAAGTAGGCATTCACGAGGTTTTCCCACTTACTGTAATATTCATCTTTTTTGAGAAATTGATGCAAACCATATTTGCCCCTAGGAAGGTTACCTTTAAGTGCAGCCGTATCCATTTCAAAAGCTACATTTCACTTGATTTTCCCTTCTTGCATAAGAAACTCATTAGAAAGATAAAAATTCTGCATACCAAAAGAGAAAATGTAATATTCTCCATGACATTTGTTGTGAAAAAATCGCAACTTGGAGGGTTGATGACAATGTGAAAAATTAAATAAAATCAACACAAATAGTAACAAAATCAACACAAAGCAAATTGATAGAAAAAAAAATGCATAACTCCAAAATTTATGTGATTCATTCATCAACGTTGTGATTACTTCACAAAGGAAGACGATCAATGGTTTTACAATAACATGTGCTAAAAAGGTAAAATATGGCTCTATTGTAAGAAATCTATTTTTTTAAGCCCCAAACACAAATAATTACATCTAATCCCAAACAAACATATTCATATGCCCAAAATACCCCTACAAGTCCCCTAGACCTTGCAAATTAGGGCAATGGTGTAGGATGGCCTAGGACCTACATAAGATAGATTGGATAACCTACGGAGTTCAAGACATACCTACACACATCAAATCTCCAGCTTGATTTCAATTTTATTAAGCGATTAAAAGGAGAAAATCATTAACCGTTTTCTCTGTAACGGACCCAATACGGTGAACTGATCAACCTCATAATACATTAAAACATTAAGTAAATTCAAGCAAATCATGAAAGTTGTAGTGGACTTAGCGTTATCGAAATTTCTATTGCACTCTTGTTTTTGTCAATCTTTAATAAATATATATCGTTTATCCCATAGATAAAGATATCACTATCATAATTTATTGTACTTTTGATATTAACAATAAGTGACAACCCTATCTTACTATAACCCTATATTATACATCTTATAAGGCAAATGGCTTCTTTCACAACTTTTGTATCAGTGATGTATTTTGCTTCATTTTAGACAAAGTAATTGAGGGTTTTAACATCGATATCTAACTACTAAAATACCTACCACTGTAAAGCAACCAGTAGTGGACCTTCTGTTGTTTGAACCATGCAAAATCAACATCTCTAAATCCAACATCCTTACCACCAATTTAGCCACTATGATCAAACAACGAAATAATATGAAGACTAATCTGGTAATACAAAGTCTATTTTACTGAATGTTCCTTCCTTAGGTTAGCCATGTGCTTACAAACAACATTGGCATCAAGTAAAATATGTGGCCTAGTGGAAACTATCACATGCAATAAAGATGACTTTTCAGATTACTGATTTCATAATGGTCCTTAAGACCATTAAACATATCATGCATTTGAAAAAACAAATAGATGAAAGAACCATTAGTGAATCTCTATCAATCAAAACGACCATTATACTTAATTCTAGTACACCAATTTCTGATTGTGAACTTGTCAAATCTCATGTGCCATTATCTAGGACATTGTTTTAGGCGGTGCAATAATTTGTTTGTGTTGCAATAATTTGTTTGTGTTGCAGAGATGTTGTTCTTGAGGGCTTTGCCCACAAAGCCCTCAAGTTGAATCTCATGAATATGTTCCTCCAATTTTCCATGCAGAACAGCTATATTGACATCAAAGATTTTCAATTCCGAGTCACACAATGCAATCATATATAGCACTTGAGTAAATGCTACTTCGCAACCAAAGAGTAGTTTTCATTATCTCTTTCTTCAATGCATAGCTCTTAGCCACCAATTATACCTTGAACCTATCAATATCGTCTTCAAATGCCCCTTCCTTCTTCCCATAAATCTATTTATATCCAATGGATCCTTTGCCCTCAGGGTAAGATCCGAAATACAATTCTTGTTAAGAGACTCATCTCCTTAGTCAATACATCTTTCTACGTCTTACTATTAGCACCATTCATGTTTTCATTAAAAGTATACAGCTATTAAATTTAATAGTCAGTGCATAAGCCACCTTGTCCATGACATATACCTTACCGTTGGATCCTTTTTAGGTTTTTCCCTTTCAAGATGAGGCTCTTGTTCTTGTGGATTTGGGGTCCCACGTCCTATTCAAACTCAACATCCTACTCCACCACTCCAATTGAATGGTGCACTCTCACAATAATCATATTTTCTTCAATTTTTCTGGTTCTCTTTTGGTTTTTCCATGATAAACTCATTAAACTTAACGTCCTTGCTGGTAACAAATCTGTGAAACATGCGGTCAAAGTACCACAATCCATGACTTTAAATCCCGTTGCATAACCAAGGAAAACGTATCACTTTTCTCTAGGGTTAAATTTAGCATCCTTAACACGAATACATGCATGACAAGAAGAATTCCTAAAAGGGAATAATCAAGAGTTTCACTGATCCATGGCTACTTTTGTGTCTTGCACCATATCATCATTGAGGATGACATGCTCATGAGGTAGCAAGCTGCATTATCTACTTCTGCTCAAATATTTTGACATGCTATCATTGCTTAACTTACTGTGGACCTTCTTGTGAAGTGTCCGGTTTGCAATTCCATATTGTTTTGGCATACTAGGAATGGTGCAGTGATGAATGATCTCTTCCTTTTATAAAATATCACAAATCTCCTAGACAAGCAGTCCGTGCTGTTATCTGTCTTCAAATATTCCAACTTCTTCCTAGTCTCTTTTTTCCAACCAAGTTTTATTTTGCTTGATTGTGCTAAACATATCTCCCTCTTCTTCAACATATAGATCTGCACCTACTTCAATAACTATTGATGCAAATTAGAAAAACAAAAAAAAAATTAGAGAAATAGTATATCGGCTGAATTTCAGTAAGTAGCTTTACATAAAAAAGCTTTATCAACCCTATTTATAGACCTTATTGGACCCCCTAATCCTATTTCTAATATAGTTAAATCTCCTATTAAAATAGATCCCAAATTTTGATGTTGATTTTCTCGAGTAATTGGGAGAAAAAATTTTAGAACCTTGAACATTAGGCCTGAAACTTGTTGCATGAAGTCAGTCTGCATTGATAATAGATGAAGGAGATGAACTACAAAGATCCTCCTTTTGAAGCAACTGATGCAGGGTCCTAATCATCTGAATAGATAGACTTAAGAATATCCTTTGTTCTGTGAAAATTCTGCTACATTTCAGTCCACAATGATTCCCATAAATATAATGTGTATGGAAGTTTAACATGCACTTCTTCACACCTTTGAGCAACTGGAACATTCTTACTTCCAGCAGTCTTCTTTCAGTCATGTCCTAGGTGGGAATGATGGAATCATGATTATCAAATATGGAATAACTGCTCCATCTAAAAATTTACTCGAGTAGCACAAACATATATGATCCAATATTCTTTTAACAACGAGCACAATCTTTTAAAACTTCTAGGACTCCTCCTTCTCTAGCATATTTACAATGTTGGGAGTCTAAAGCAACCAAATATGTAAGTTTCTTTCTCAGATCTAGAAGATACCTTACATCAACCAGCATTCCAACAACTCCATCATATATCTCGATGCTAAAAGTCCTTATAACATTGGTCTTACAAATATCGTTTGATCATAATAAATTGACCACCATCAATACTCATATAAGTGGTGAGCTAGTCCATTGAGGTACATTCCATTGGAACATCCGAATCAAGAATCCATGAGCCTGTCAAGTAATCGCTTCTTGCGTGAGTCTGATAAAATAGTGTTTTCTTTTTCCACTATCTGGACCTTTATCAAATGCACTTGTTGCATTTGAGGCTCCATTCTCCTTCTATTTGAATTTTGTGTAGTCTCTCTTTACATGCCTTTCTATTTTTACGGGAAAAACATCAAAATTGCTCTTATTCAACCTTGATAATGATCTGGATCTCATTTGGTTACCATATACCCTTTCTTTTCTCTTCAGTATTATCTCTCTAGCCTTCAAATCCTCTACATGTGGCTGAGCATTGCTCTATTTCTTCTTCAAATCATTTGAGAAAAGAGTTGTAGTCATGCCCTCCACATTTATGGTATTGTTTTCAAAGAGCCATGTCTTAAAAAGGTGTTCATACGACTCATGGAGAGAGTATGACATGATTAAAACCTTACCCTTGTATTCTATCATTACACCATTGCTTGATATTTATGAGTAATCTTATTGAATTGATTCAAATGTAGTAAAATACTCATAAATTCTTGGATATTTATCCCTTGAACTGTACTTTGTATAGATTTCCTCATGTAAGTACTTTCAAGCAATTATGAACATTGCTATAAGTCTTGTTGATGATAGTATACAACCCTCATTCAAATGGCACATTCGAATCGTGCTAATATCCCTTAGGTTTAGGACTTCCTAATGCCCATTTGGCCTAGACTCCGACTTCTTCAACGTCTCTTCAACAACTTTGTGCAATCCTTGTTGAACCAACAAGTTTGGGACAATTACCTCCCAAATCTCAAAAACATTTCTACCATCGAACTTCTCTACCCCTAACCGTTTGCTTGATCCTTCACATCCATTTAAAAAATCCCTAACCTAATACTTGCTGTTGTGAAAATATCCTAGCCAGATGGATCGATGACAAATGTGAAAATTGAGAAAAAATGACAATAAACAACAAGAAAACACAAATCAAATAAATAAAAAATCAAACGAAAACATCAAGATTCACGTAGTTCATCTCTGATGTGAATATGCCCATGGGAAAAGAGAGTCATTGGTTTCATTACAATAGTTCCCTAAAAGAGAGTCTTGAGAAACTCTTAAGACAAAAAAACACATAAAGAACTTATATATTGCCCAACTATAACTTAACCATAAAGAAACATATTTTAATATCCAAACTTCCCCTATAGATCTTCTAATTTTTTATAGCAAGGGAACAAGACCCAAGATCAACAAAGGATATATATTATGTTACACATGAAAATCAAGACAACCTATGCATAACAATCCTTTGGATTTCTTCTTTTCTGTCTTCGGAAAATCATGAGAAATGTGAATATTCTCCTGCAATTTAAAAGTAATATTTGTATCATGCGATTCTCTTTTCATCTCCTTAAAGTAATAGTGATAAAATCAAACATTTTCCCATAGTTTGGCCATTTCTTAATGAAGAAATTCACGTGAAAAAAGGATGTTCTCCATGAATTTGAAACTATATTATGATGTTTGTAAGTCCGTACCGCACTATTCAATAACAAAATGAAACTATTAAAAAATAGTTTGATATTACTTTTGTACTTCCGAACTCAGGGTAAAATTGAAATAAAAATTTGAAAATTATAGGACCTCATCACAAAAATATGATCCATACGGTAGTGCCATATATTTTTTCTAGTTCATACATAAATTTCACTTAAAAGTGGCATTGGACAAGTTCGCACAAGCAATCAAGAGCTAAAGTAAGCCGCATACATGTGACAGTGGTGGAATTTCAACATACTATATAAAAATAAATTTTATTGAAAAAATAGTTGCACAGACATGTCATGCCATACTAGAGTTTTAGGTTGATGTACTAAACACTTATAGTACATGTTAAACATGGATGCTCCTATCAACGTCTATGTAATACTAACAAGAATATAATACAATATTCCACGTACAAAAAGAAAATCGAAAAACTAAATAAAGGACTCATATGTAGAAAGAGTGAGTGATGGAACAAAGATCCAAAAGAGAGCTATATATGCTTATCCTAACCACCACTTTTTTTTAATAAATTGTCCTATTAATGCCCTTTTAAGCTTTTTTGGTAGCTCAATTGTAGGAATGGTTAATAATGCCTTTTAAACTATTTTGGTAGCTCAATTGTAGGAATGGAACTATAGATATATTATTATAATTGTCTACATCTAATCACGCCTAAGTCCAATTGGTCTTTCTCTTTTAATAAGTCTATTTTCTAGCCATGAACTTATTTATAGGCATATTTCTTCCAATAATATCTTTCCTAGTGTTGAAGCACATGACCTACCCTCAACCACAACATATACATGTAGAATAGACAATATAGAATAGATAGCATCAAGGACAATATCTTTGAATGAAAATCATTGATATTTTGTTAATCCTACAAACTGTAAATACTTTTTTTCTAAAGTTATATCTATGATACACCACTGTTATAGTTGCATCCCTATTATTATTCTACCCAAGCAACATATCCAAAATATGGCCCTAAATAAATATTGTATTAGCTATCATACTTATCCAAATCCTCTTGATGTTTAACTAAGTTACATGTAGTAGTTGTATATTGATTACAGGGGTCATGGTGGTAGCATCCTTCATACCTAGTTGCATATCGTGCTCTCCAATCCACTGTCAGTTAAAAAGTCTAACTATTCAAAAAAGGGATTGTATACAAATACCATTTACCTTTGTATAGGAAGGTCACAATTACTTACAACAATCTAATGTGAAATCTGATAGCTTGGGTGTGTCACAAAATTTGAGAAAATTTCTTTTAAACTTTGAACTTGGTCAATAAAATAAATGCAGCCACCTAATTTTACATCCAATGGTTAATATTAATTGTGACCAACTTGTACTAAAGGTAAATGATCTCATTATATACTTTCCCTTTAAGAAATGGGTAGGGGCCTCAATTTCCCACTAAATTACTCAAACGAAATTATACGGGCTACTAAGAGTGATAATATCTATTCCCAAATTTAGTCCATTTCCCTTACTTTAAAGCTAGAGCAATTTGCTATGCCCCCCTTATTACTCGGTAGAAATCATGGAGATAATATCAGGAATGTCTAAATTTATATTTTTGGGGCAACCATTGATTTTGCATAATTGAAATTCATGGGTTGCCATTTCTGAAGTAATATGTTTATATAATGATACAAAAGCATCAATTAAACAATTGAATTCGGTGAAAAATTGTTAACTAACAACATCGTAACAAAATTATCTGTCCATAATAAATTGAAAAGTCTTTATGATAAGAAGTAATGATGTATTACCTTTAAAACCCATTGGAAAATGTAGTTCCAGTATTGGAAAGCCCTCAGATTGATTATTTTGACCTAACAATTATAGATTTGAAAAATAGATTTCAAACTCAAAAAATAATATATCTTCTAACACATAATCTAGGCCATCTATTTACATGTGTTTACAGGCACTCCAAATCTACAACACTTTTGGGGCTTCCAATTTTATAATCAATGGTAGATATAGATTTTTAGATCATTATAGAAGTTTTCCGCACCAAAACACCATCTTTATTGGGTTTTGAGATGCAATTTATTTTTTAACATAATGCCTAGGCCTTATGCCGATAGAATCGATAATAAGGAGATTGATAATGATATTGTTCTTCAAAATTTAATATTTACCTGGTGATGAAAGAACATGCTTTATATATTATGGGAATAACATATATAGAGCCGAGGCTCTAAACAATCGGCTCTAAACAATCAAATTTGAGGCTACCTCAAAACTTTTATTATAAGTGGTTGTTTTGATGCCCAAAAATCTTCAAATTGATTATCTCGACATCAAGCTACATGAACATGATAAAACAATGGATTCCAAGTTTTGAAAATAGTGTATTTTGTAACGTATTTTTTTACCATCAATTTTCAAGATTTTCAAGTTTTCATAGATCTATCTATCAACACTATTTTTGAAGCTTTAAGCATTATAAATAAATATGAAAATATATTTTAAGGCTACCACATTGATTGAAACTACATTTCTCGACACTATTTGAAGGTAGGCTCTAAATTGATTGTTCAGAGCCTAGGCTCTATACAAACCGCACCCTTATATTATTTGCTTGTGGCCAAAAGATCGACCTTTGAGTTGGGTTTTATATGACTAATCTCAGATTGGAATGGGAAGTGCACTCGACACGCTATGTGGGCAAGCATATGGAGCGAAGCAGTATCATATGCTTAGTGTACATATGCAGAGATCCATGATTGTGCTTCTACTAATGAGCATTCCCCTTGCTTTTATTTTGGCTTTCACATGCAATATCCTCGCTGCCATGGGCCAAGACAGAGAGATATCGAAAGAAGCAGGGATTTATGCTAGATGGATGATACCCGGCCTTTTTGCGTTTGCGCTTCTTCAATCATTTACTCGATTCATGCAAGCCCAAAGCATTGTTATTCCACTAATGGCAAGTTCTGGAGTTACAACTCTATGTCACCTAATTTTATGTTGGTTTCTTGTTTTTAAGTCTGGTTTGGGTAGCAAAGGTGCAGCATTAGCCACTTCTATTTCTTATTGGATCAATGTAGTTCTTTTAGCTCTCTATATCAAGATTTCCACTGCTTGCAAGGAGACTTGGACTGGTCTTTCAATGGAAGCTCTGCAGGATCTTGGACATTTCTTGAGAATTGGGATCCCTTCTACAGTAATGGCTTGGTATGCTTCTCCTTGTAACTGTTTTCTACAGCCCTATTCCTAAATAAAAGATTTGGGCAAACCTTTAAGGAAACATAGCTGTCTTTAGATAAGTTAGGACAAATTCTAATATAAAGAAAGCTATTGTTACATGTGAATTGTTTGTGTGTTTTATTTATTAACTTCACTTTTAAACAGCTTGGAGACCTGGTCATTCGATATGATTGTTATCTTATCTGGTCTTCTTCCTAATCCAAAGTTGGAAACATCAGTACTTTCAATAAGGTGAATGTCGAATCCTTCGCTCTTTATCATTACTCTTCTGTATATTGTAATATCTTGAGAAATAACTAATTGCATGATTTATGAATTTCTTGTTACTCCTTGGCTCATGGGATGTCCTCATTCAAAAAAAGAAAACAAAAGAAAAAACCAAGGCATTCATATAGAAATGTATTAACCATATCCACAACAAGTTTCGTGCTGTAGATATACTTGTGTCTTGTTAATATAGAAAGACAGCCATGTAGATATTTTATTGAGCATAGTAATAGCTTTTATTTTCCATAATTTCTAATTTCTTTTCATTCCAAACTAAGAGGTTGTTTTATTTGCATGCAGTCTTGATATCTATGCTTTGGCTTACATGATCCCTTCTGGTCTCAGTGGTGCCATAAGGTGAGGTGTGGGATATATGTTGTAGGGACGAGAATTTATTAGATCTGGATCCAAAACCCAAATTTTGGATCTTATTCGGATCAGGGTATGGATGTCTTGAATCAAAATTCGGATCCGGATCTAAAATTT